CACACACACACGTCCAAAAGTACACTGGTGTGAGTGTCACGTTTCTGTCTCACCTGTGGAGCTGTAACATAATACAGACCACCCTGGATATATCACTATACAGTAGTATCTCAGGTGTCTCTCGCTCTCTCTCTCTCAAACACACACTCTTTGGGTCTTACACTTTTTTCCTTCTATTCATCACTTTCTTTGCCCCTCTCATCAAGTCCGTGTCCTTTTAAAGGACACGTTTACCAGACACCACAGAGGCCTTTTCAGGAGGCAACTGATAACAAAAGCCACGAACAATGACGAAGCACAGCCTGTTTCTCCGGTTCCTCCTCTCTCCTTCAAATCTCAGACATGGATTTAGATCTTCACTTATGATAGTGTGGGCTAGCTTAGTCATGTTGCGGTGACTAAGTACGGCTTGCAGGGCCCGAGCAACAAGTGCAGGATTCCTTTGCAAAGAGGGCAAAAACTAGACAACTATGTGGTGATCATTGTTGTGTGCTGTTGCACATAACCAGTTTGTCCTGTCGGGACTGGCCAAGGGTTTCTTCTGCCGTTACGCTACGCTGACATGTTATGTTAAATAAGCATTATGTTCAAAGAACCGCCCTATAGCACAGATAAAACAGCAGCCTGCTTTCTGGTGTCAGAAATGAACTAATGAATGAACAGAAGTCTAGCTTCGCTCTGAGCCCTTTAACCTCCTCTAAAGCAGCTATTCAGCCAGTGTTAATTAAGCCTGGGATGTGATGACCTCTAGTGGCATTCTAGTGGTTTCTCCAGGACAGAGCTGAACCACAGGCGCAGTGAAAACCACCCGAATCAGCTTCAGACGACACAGACGACCTGAAAGACCGTGTGATTTTTTTTTTGTTTCTCCAGACAAAACCTGTTTAAAAGTTCAACCTTCAGCTAAACTATTGACAAGTAATAGTTCTTCTTTAACTCCGATGCTTGTGTTTTGTTACAAATCAGGTTAATTTTGTTAAGAAACACAAAAAGCAAATTTATCTCACAATCTATAAAGAATATAGACCGTCCCTGCCAGCCCCAGAAAAGAGAAAATAGAGCAGCCTCTGGGAAAGTAACAAAGGAGGGAACCCATGACTGATGGACATGTTGTGTTTACAGAAGAGACAAAAATAGCAAAATCCCATCAAAGGCATCACATTATTAAGAACAATATTGTTTTTTGGGGGCCATCTTAATGGTGTCCAACCAAAAAACTATTTTCCTGTTTCACATTTGTCTCTAATAGACTGGCAACCAGCCCAGCATGTACCCCACCTCCCTCCAAGTGACAGCTGGGATAGACTCCAGCCCTCCCAGATCCTGAAATTGGATCAGTGGTTAAGAAAATGGATGGAAGGGAAATTCATCTTAGTGTTGCTAAGTTAGTGGACATGGGAGTTAATGTAGGTTGTCATGCAGCAGGTCAACACTCGGGTCAAACTGCAGTAAGCACGAAGGTCTTAACAGGAGGGTAATTTAGACAAAAGAGATACTCGTGGGCTCAAAGTACTAAAGCGACACTCCTTAATGAGGTAATCTTTGTCTACTGTTGTCAGCTGGTACGGTGACGTAACTAACACCATCATAGCAGTCATGTATAGCTTTATAAGCTAAATACTTAGCATGACTCAAGTAATTGCATTTAGCACGATTAGACTAGAGCAGACTGAAACAGAAAACAGAGAGTGTACAAACCATTCTGTGCTGTAGCGATGTGGTGGTTTAACAGTGGGGTAGAT